CTGCCCACAATTTCAATGGGTGCCTCAGGACTGCCCACAATTTCAATGGGTGCCTCAGGACTGTCCACAATTTCAATGGGTGCCTCAGGACTGTCCACAATTTCAATGGGTGCCTCAGGACTGTCCACAATTTCAATGGGTGCCTCAGGACTGCCACAATTTCAGGACTGTCCACAATTTCAATGGGTGCCTCAGGACTGTCCACAATTTCAATGGGTGCCTCAGGACTGTCCACAATTTCAATGGGTGCCTCAGGACTGCCCACAATTTCAATGGATGCCTCAGGACTGCCCACAATTTTAATGGGTGCCTCAGGACTGCCCACAATTTTAATGGGTGCCTCAGGACCGTCCACAATTTTAATGGGTGCCTCAGGACTGTCCACAATTTCAAAGGGTGCCGTGATTGAAAAAAGGTTGAGGAACACTGGTTTATAGGGTCCATACCAAGTTATTGTACCCATTTCCGTCAGGCTCCTGCTGATCTGGATTTTGGAAGACAAGCCGGCCATGATGAAAATACAAATCCATCCAGCAAATAGACAGGACTGAAGACCTGGTCAAACAAGAACCACACTGGCAAGTAGGAGGTGGCACACCATCATGCAGACTTCCATCTATCACTAGATGTAGCAAGCAATTGGTGGTCTCACACTTATTACTGAATAAAGGATAATAGAAAAGTGGAGTTGCAACAAAGTGGAAAAAAAAACACTCTGCAGTTGCCTGTCGCTAGCCTGTGAACTTTGAGTCACTGATCTGGAACTTGCGGTCAGAGAAGTCACAGCTCCATGTACCTGAAGAGCCTTCATAAACATTACAACTACTAACAAGTGTCTATTGTTAAATACTATTATTATACAGGATTTATTATTATTATTATTACAGGATTTATTATTATATTATACAGGATTTATATATTATCATTATACAGGATTTATATATTATCATTATACAGGATTTATATATTATTATTATACAGGATTTATATATTATTATTATACAGGATTTATATATTATTATTATACAGGATTTATATATTATTAATATACAGGATTTATATATTATTAATATTATACAGGATTTATATTATTATTATTATTATTATACAGGATTTATTATTATTATTATACAGGATTTATTATTATTATTATACAGGATTTATTATTATTATTATACAGGATTTATATATTATTATTATACAGGATTTATATATTATTATTATTATTATACAGGATTTATATATTATTATTATTATACAGGATTTATATATTATTATTATTATACAGGATTTATATATTATTATTATACAGGATTTATATATTATTATTATACAGGATTTATGGCACCAACAGTTTGCTCAGCGCTTTACAATATAAAGGGAGACAATACAGCAACAATACAGTTCAATACAAGAGGGTTAGGAGGGCCCTGATCCTGGGAGCTTACAATCTAAGATAATATCCATCTCCAGGCAAAGCAAACCCCACTTTCCTGTCCCCCCCCCCCCCCCCCCCCCCCCACCCCCCCCCCCCCCCCCAACCGCTTTCATGTTTTGTTTTTCTTAATAAAGCTGTAAAAACCCTTTTTTACCGACCTGTCCGCTATCATGTGTTGCCCACCAGCGCCTCCTCCAGGAGATGAGCCGCCATGCAGTCTGTGCCACCTGATCATGACATCACACTATGCAGTCTCTTAGAGCCCAAGAGGACCCCGCCACTGGGCATCCAATAAGAAGAATCCATGTCACCCGGGTAGCAATGTGGTCACCTGGAAAAGGATCCTCCCAGACCACAGAGAGAAGATAGACTCTTGACTTTTGTTAAATAAAAGGGTGTTTAGAATTTTCTTAAATAAATTTATTAGTTGGAGGGGATGCCTGAAGATCACCCTTAAAGCCCCTAAAGTTCAGCTTTACCAAAAAAAACACCTCTGCAGATACGCAACGTCTACACAAGACAGACAAGCTGTGCAGCTTTGACTGAATGATGCCCTTGCTATAGCTATAGGCCATTTGTGTACCTCGAGAAGTCTAACTGGAAGATGCCCGGGATGTTGCTGAGAGGCCCAGCTGTTACTGTTTCCCTTGATTATCACAAGAGTTCTTTCTCTGATTCACCTCCCCCCCCCCCCCCCCCCGATGCGCTCTCTCTGAGCTTGGCATTGGAGGACACACTCCTGTGATGGTGGAGGTGAACAGCGATAGCTGGGCCTCTCTTAGCAACATCCTTAGCAACGTCTTGGGTGTTTACCAGTCAGGAGGAATGTAAATGGCATATACCTATAGAGAGGGCTGTGAATAAGGGGGTACCACCAGTCCTCCTGTATGGGCCCAGGCAGAATTGGATGTGGGCAGGGAGGATAATCAGCACACCTTTTGGGGCAAGGGGGGAATACTGGAACCGATTCCCTGTATGGCACTCCCTGCAGCAGCTGAAAGATGGATTCTTCTTCTCTTCCTCCCAGCTGTTGCAGAGATAGCCATGCAGGGAATCAGTTGCAATAATTCCCCTCCCCCTGCTGCACCCATCACCCTCCCTGTGCACCATACGTTTCCCTCTGCTGTCCGGGTCCCTCTGTGTGCCCCCACCCCTGCAGTGCTTCCGGCTTCCCTCCTCTGCATCCCACTGGCAGCTGCCAGCACACAATAGGATCCTTCAGAATGGAGAATGGGGGAAGGGTCCAGTAAATATGTCACATTTACTAGTCCCTTTCTTTCCTGAATGAACACAATGAGTGATCAGTACCAATTACTTACTGTGTTCATTCATAACTGAAGTATCGTAAACAGGTTTCTTTTTGGATGTGGCCCTGTCAGGTTGGCTGTAAGGGGCCCGTGGTTTCTAACAGCAGCTCTGCCTATAGCAAGGGCATTATTCAACTTAAAGCGGTAGTAAACTTGTTCAAGAAAAAAAAAAAGAAGAGTTTCCCCCTGCAAGGTAATAACATAATGAGCTAGTATGCACTGCACATAGTGTATGCACTGCACATAGTGTATGCACTGCACATAGTGTATGCACTGCACATAGTGTATGCACTGCACATAGTGTATGCACTGCACATAGTATATTTATTGCACATAGTGTATGCACTGCACATAGTATATGTATTGTACATAGTGTATGCACTGCACATAGTGTATGTATTGTACATAGTGTATGCACTGCACATAGTGTATGCACTGCACATAGTGTATGCACTGCACATAGTGTATGCACTGCACATAGTGTATGCACTGCACATAGTGTATGTATTGTACACTAGCACATTATGTAAAATTTACTTTAAAGCGAAGCCCTCACTGCTGACAGGGCTTCCACCTTCACCCGGTCTTCTTTCCGGGTTCCCACGGCACACAGCTTTGAAGGGACGGCACGGGTATTCTTGGGAGAGTATGTGATCAGCACAGGGTCAATCAGCACTACCTAGACAGAGGTCAGGGGTTCTGCATTCTCCTAGAGAAAACTCCTCCTACAAGCTTTAACCAGTATACAAGACTGCTGTATACTGCTAAGAAAAAGGTATTTAGCAGTCTATATTTACTGAAATAATTGTATATCTATGTTCTGTGAACTGTGGGAGACCAGATACAGGGAATGCCGGGCCCGGGGAGAGCGGATACAGGGAATGCCGGGCCCGGGGAGAGCGGATACAGGGAATGCCGGGCCCGGGGAGAGCGGATACAGGGAATGCCGGGCCCGGGGAGAGCGGATACAGGGAATGCCGGGCCCGGGGAGAGCGGATACAGGGAATGCCGGGCCCGGGGAGAGCGGATACAGGGAATGCCGGGCCCGGGGAGAGCGGATACAGGGAATGCCGGGCCCGGGGAGAGCGGATACAGGGAATGCCGGGCCCGGGGAGAGCGGATACAGGGAATGCCGGGCCGGGGAGAGCGGATACAGGGAATGCCGGGCCCGGGGAGAGCGGATACAGGGAATGCCGGGCCCGGGGAGAGCGGATACAGGGAATGCCGGGCCCGGGGAGAGCGGATACAGGGAATGCCGGGCCCGGGGAGAGCGGATACAGGGAATGCCGGGCCCGGGGAGAGCGGATACAGGGAATGCCGGGCCCGGGGAGAGCGGATACAGGGAATGCCGGGCCCGGGGAGAGCGGATACAGGGAATGCCGGGCCCGGGAGAGCGGATACAGGGAATGCCGGGCCCGGGAGAGCGGATACAGGGAATGCCGGGCCCGGGAGAGCGGATACAGGGAATGCCGGGCCCGGGGAGAGCGGATACAGGGAATGCCGGGCCCGGGGAGAGCGGATACAGGGAATGCCGGGCCCGGGGAGAGCGGATACAGGGAATGCCGGGCCCGGGGAGAGCGGATACAGGGAATGCCGGGCCCGGGGAGAGCGGATACAGGGAATGCCGGGCCCGGGGAGAGCGGATACAGGGAATGCCGGGCCCGGGGAGAGCGGATACAGGGAATGCCGGGCCCGGGGAGAGCGGATACAGGGAATGCCGGGCCCGGGGAGAGCGGATACAGGGAATGCCGGGCCCGGGGAGAGCGGATACAGGGAATGCCGGGCCCGGGGAGAGCGGATACAGGGAATGCCGGGCCCGGGGAGAGCGGATACAGGGAATGCCGGGCCCGGGGAGAGCGGATACAGGGAATGCCGGGCCCGGGGAGAGCGGATACAGGGAATGCAGGGCCCGGGGAGAGCGGATACAGGGAATGCAGGGCCCGGGGAGAGCGGATACAGGGAATGCAGGGCCCGGGGAGAGCGGATACAGGGAATGCAGGGCCCGGGGAGAGCGGATACAGGGAATGCAGGGCCCGGGGAGAGCGGATACAGGGAATGCAGGGCCCGGGGAGAGCGGATACAGGGAATGCAGGGCCCGGGGAGAGCGGATACAGGGAATGCAGGGCCCGGGGAGAGCGGATACAGGGAATGCAGGGCCCGGGGAGAGCGGATACAGGGAATGCAGGGCCCGGGGAGAGCGGATACAGGGAATGCAGGGCCCGGGGAGAGCGGATACAGGGAATGCAGGGCCCGGGGAGAGCGGATACAGGGAATGCAGGGCCCGGGGAGAGCGGATACAGGGAATGCAGGGCCCGGGGAGAGCGGATACAGGGAATGCAGGGCCCGGGGAGAGCGGATACAGGGAATGCAGGGCCCGGGGAGAGCGGATACAGGGAATGCAGGGCCCGGGGAGAGCGGATACAGGGAATGCAGGGTCCGGGGAGAGCGGATACAGGGAATGCAGGGTCCGGGGAGAGCGGATACAGGGAATGCAGGGTCCGGGGAGAGCGGATACAGTGAATGCAGGGTCCGGGGACAGTGGATACAGTGAATGCAGTGCCCGGCCAGAGCTGATATAGTGAATGCAGGGTCCAGGGAGAGCAGATATAGTGAATGCGGGGCCCGGGAGAGCTGATACAGTGAATGCAGGGCCAGGGGAGAGCTGATACAGTGAATGCAGGGCCCAGGGTTTAGTAACACTGTAAGCAAAATGTATCATTCACTGAGTAAGCACTGGATAATATGGAACTTTATCTTCTCATTTTTACTCCGAATCAGTTGGACATTTACCTACAAGTTATATGGACAATTCAGTCAACAGTAGGGAGACCCATAACAATCTCAAACTAGTATTTTTCTCAAACTGCATAGAACAGAAGGCTATAAAAGGGGGAATTCACTGCATGTTGACCCAAAATAAACACCAGATAAATAAATGGATTTCCTTAGGGAATAAGGGTAACTTCTGAAAGTGTCAAGCAGGACTGTGTGTGGCCTTCAAAAGGGGCTGGAAACCTGGACAGCAACTACTTGTGAACAAGGAGCTGCTGTAACCCACAAATACACATCTCTGCCAAACAACCAACCCAGACAGACAGACAGCATGGAACAGTAACTGGAAGAGGAACTAGAGTCTCTTTAATGGCTTTAGAGGTATACATGAAAAAAGACCAGCTTAATGTAAATAATCTGATCAGTGTGTTAGGGCCCTTTCACATGTGTGCCTTCCGATCAACAGCGGATGACAGGTCCCCAGACAGACCCCATTCAGCTCCATAGGCAGACCCCGCTCTGCTCCATGGGCAGCCAGGAGTAAACCGATTCCGCTGTCCATTTACACCTGGCTGCCTCCGATTTCCTCTGCCCAGATGTAAGACAAAGCAGTCCTCCTCCATTTTTTTTTTTTTCGTTTAGGTGGGTGACAACCATGAAACATTTTACTTTCTACTTGTATTACTACTGCAAAGAAAGTAAATCAATGATCATACAAAATGAAACTAACAGCGGTTATAATTTGCTAGTTTTCACTTCTTTTTCTAAGCCAGTGCCAAGCACAACGACATGCACAGCAACCAATAAAAAAATCACAGATGACGACTGGTCGCCATAACCGACTGCTTTCTGCACTGAATAAAGTTGCAGATCCGGCCTACTGCTAAACAGTGAAAGTTTTGGGAGGTTTACACCAAAGTCTAAGGGCTCGTTCACACTTGGCTGTTTTACCAACGCTTGCCAAAACGTCCCTATAACGTTTGGCAAGCGTTGGTCTGGCGTTTGCGGAGCGTTTTTTTAACGCGCCGCATGCGCAGTTTAGCGGCAGTTGCTGAGCATTAACGCCCCACAAACGCCTATAATGCAGTTTGAGTGGTGTTACCGCTCCGCAAACGCCCCGCAACCGCACCGCAAACGCCGGCCGTTTGCGGAGCGGCACCATATACGAGAATAGGAGGCTTCAACGCCTCCTGACTCGACCAGAGGCGTCCGTTTTAACGCGCCGCAAACGCTCCCATTAGAACAGCACCATGTGCTGTAATGTGCAGAATTGGCAGAGACGTTTGGGAAGCGGTAAAAACGCTTCCCAAATGCCTCTCTGCCACCTGCACACAACGCTAGTGTGAACGTAGCCTTACTGAATAAAGCTGCAGATCTGGCCTACTGCTAAACAGTGAAAGTTTTGGGAGGTTTACACCAAAGCCTAAGGGCTCGTTCACACTTGGCTGTTTTACCAACGCTTGCCAAACGCCCCTATAGCGTTTGGCAAGTGTTGGTCTGGCGTTTGCGGAGCATTTTTAACGCTCGGCAAACGCTCCTTAAACGCTGCATGCGCAGTTTAGCGGCGGTTGCTAGGTATTTGCTGAGCGTTAGTAACGCCCCACAAACGCCTATAATGCAGTTTGAGTGGTGTTACCGCTCCGCAAACGCCCCGCAACCGCACCGCAAACGCCAGCCGTTTGCGGAGCGGCACCATAGACGAGAATAGGAGGCCTCAACGCCTCCTGACTCGACCAGAGGCGTCCGTTTTAACGCGATGCAAACGCTCCCATTAGATCAGCACCATGTGCTGTAATGTGCAGAATTGGCAGAGGCGTTTGGGAAGCGGTAAAAACGCTTCTCCAAATGCCTCTCTGCCGCCTGCACACAACGCTAGTGTGAACGTAGCCTTACTGAATAAAGTGGCAGATCTGGCCTACTGCTAAACAGTGAAAGTTTTACACCAAAGCCTAAAAGTGACACTTCTGAGCTTCAGTCAAACCACAAAATCATAAGACATGCTTGCTCGGCACTTGAAATGTTGAAATTTAACACGGGGTTAAAGACATGAGGAGTCAGGAAGGATGCTGCACAAATATTTAACCGATAAATTATTTATTGATGCCCAGAGACTTGGTGCCATTACAAAACAAACCAGGTAACCAGCGAGGACTATCAGGCAGTACGCCGTGCAATACAGCGGGCAGATTGCAGCAAGGCCTCCTCTGCAGATGAGAACAAGTCACAGCGATGAATGGAAACTGCACCAGAATATGCCGGAGATCTCCAGAACATCAACACCCCAACACGACCAGGACAGACTCTGCATGGACCTCAATTAGTATGACAGGACAGCAAACCTACAAATCCTCGCCCAATAATTAACCCCACTGCTGCCAGAATACACCATCTCCTCCGAATACCCCTCTCCTTGACATTAACCCAAAAGAATTCCAGTAACAGGACAATCTCCATGTCCTGTCCTTTACCAATATTACCCAGATGACCCAACTTCACATAATCTTAGATAGGAGACCATCTTAGAGACACCCAGGCCCAGTAATCAAAGGAAGACCTTCTAAAAAGAGAACAAGCTCCATCAATACTGTCAAGCCTGCATGCTGGAGACCGCCAAAACATCCTCTACAGCATTCCTGAACTCCAAAATACATGGATGGAGCGCCAACATTGAAGACATTTCAACTTAATAGCAAATTTCAATTTGGCGTCAATTCAGAAATGCAAACTGGACACCTAAAAAAGATGGAGTTACCCAACAACAGTATTTCCCCGCTCACCTAACATCAGCAAGATGAGCAGGGTGCAAGAGATACCCTTCCATTCATTCTGACACTGCAAGGGTTAACTGTTTATGTCTAGGCGATTTATTGACCTGATCCACTGGTACTTCTTGCTCCTACGTTGGACTGTTCCTCAGCAGCCTCACATCCAACTCAGGGCTGTGGTCCCTGCACTGGTCTTGATGTCAAGAGGATCATTAGACCACTGGAGTATAGGGAAGAAGAGGTTGCAGGGACCAGTCTAGCAGCACAGAGGAGCTTGCAGGAGCGCAGGATCAGTTAAGTCAAGCTGAACACACCCAGGAAATGAGAACCCCCAGAAGCTGAGGGCACCCCAGGAAAACAGACCCCACCCCAGAAGCTGAACACACCCAGGAAATGAGAACTCCCAGAAGCTGAGGGCACCCCAGGAAAACAGACCCCACCCCAGAAGCTGAACACACCGAGGAAATGAGAAACCCCAGAAGCTGAGGGCACCCCAGGAAAACAGACCCCTCCAGAAGCTGAACACACCCAGGAAATTAGACCCCCAGAAGCTGAGGGCACCCCAGGAAAACAGACCCCTCCAGAAGCTGAACACACCCAGGAAATTAGACCCCCAGAAGCTGAGGGCACCCCAGGAAAACAGACCCCTCCAGAAGCTGAACACACCCAGGAAATTAGACCCCCAGAAGCTGAGGGCACCCCAGGAAAACAGACCCCTCCAGAAGCTGAACACACCCAGAAAATTAGACCCCCAGAAGCTGAGGGCACCCCAGGAAAACAGACCCCCCCCCCAGAAGCTGAACACACCCAGGAGATTAGGGCACCCCAGGAAAACAGACCCCCCCCCAGAAGCTGAACACACCCAGGAAATGAGAAACCCCAGAAGCTGAGGGCACCCCAGGAAAACAGACCCCCCCCCCCCCCCGAAGCTGAACACACCCAGGAGATTAGGGCCCCCCAGGAAAACAGACCCCCCCCCAGAAGCTGAACACACCCAGGAAATTAGACCCCCAGAAGCTGAGGGCACCCCAGGAAAACAGACCCCCCCCAGAAGCTGAACACACCCAGGAGACGAGAACCCCCAAAAGCTGAGGGCACAGCAAACAAACCCCCAGAAGTTCAGAGCACCCCAGGAAATGGGAACCCCCAAAAGCTGAATGCACTCCAAAAATTGAAACCCCAAAAGCTGAGAACACCCAAAGAAATGGGAACCCACAGAAGCTGAGGGTACCCAAGGAAATGGGAACCCCCTAGACGATGAACACACCCCAAGAAAAGGGAAACACCAGCAAAATAAACACCCCAAATTAAGGAACCTCAAAAGCTGAGCGCACCCCAAGAAATGGGAAAACCAAAAGCAAGTCAAGAAAGGTACATCCCAAAAGCTCAGTGCATCCCAAGAAATGGGAGCCCCCCCAAATAAGAACACCCCTGGAAATGAAAACCCCCAGATGATGAGAACACCACTCATCCCATCAGGCTGGTGAAGCAAAACGGCAAGAATGGAAAAAGCTGGAGAGGAATTCCCTAGAAAGCCCCCTTTCCTTTTATTACGTTTACCACCCCCACACATGCAGGCTATGGCTGCCATTGTCATGGACATTCTGCTGTCCATTCAGACACCAAAACAATACTGACAATATTGAGAAAAACGCAGGGGCCAAACATACAGGATGTAGGGGCCAATACAATCAGCCCATCACAGGCAGGATGGGAGACACTACAATATAATCCATACAGAGGTATAACATCCCATTTAAACAATTGGCTCCATTTACACCATCACAAATAAGCGAGGGAACCAGAATGTCTGCCAAAACCTCCTGGGAACTGCAAGAACCAGCATGCCTTGACACCTCCATTTCTGTAATAGCTCCTATGTCCGCTGTCACTGTAGACTGATACCCCCTTCTATTACTATTATAAAAGTGGAAGACCCTAGGAGCCCCTAGATACAACCCACCACAGTCATCCTGTCACTGGCAGATGA